AGAGAGAACAGGGAAAGAGGAAAGATTACAATCTCATACTGGAATAATGAAAGCACTTGTACATCTAAGTGAATTTGCTTTGCAATTTTAATTACAGTGGGTGTCCTTGTAAAAGAGAATCTCAAAAAACCAATTTCTTCCTGCTTTCAACGCTGCCTGTCTCCTTCTGCCCTCTCCCCTGAAGACTCTCACCCTCACTGAAATGCTAAAAGAAGACTGAAGCTTGGAGTGATTCCGGGAAGAATTGTTTTTGGATAATTAGGCATGGTCTGCATTTGCCTCTGGCATCGATGTTGATGCAAAAATCCCATCTGGATGATCAGCAAGTATTTAAGCTTTTAAACCTTTTCTTCTGGAGGCTTTTTATTAATCCCCTGGAGAAGCACCTCAACATTTCTCTCCCAGCCCTGACTTCTTGTCACTTGCAATCCAGCCACTCTGGGTTTCAGAAGAGAGAGTGTTGCCAGCAAGATTAATCACAGACTTTCTAGCATCGGAAATAAGCACTTTCCACCGGCTGGGCTGCAGCCTCCGCTCGGCTCGGTCACTTCTAGCCCAGCACCGCCTCCTCTGCCTCTTTGTCTTGCTCATCTCACCTGCATCCAACCTGTAACTGTAGTTGGAGAGAACTCAGAGCAGGATGTTTCAGACCTTCTTCTTCCCTGCTCCTACTCCTGAGGCATCAAGACTCCAAGACCAGGAAACAACCCTTCTAAGAGTCTTCTGTTCTGGCGATGTCTCCGCTGTCCCCTCCTGTCTTCAGACCACGGGGCAGACACCCAGTGCCTCCTGGGTGGGCTCAAGCCCCAGGTAGAGGATGCAGGGCTGCGCCCAGCCAGTGGAATTGGTCACACCTGCCTCTTTCCTTGGCCGAGGCTCAGTGGTCCTCCTACTATCCCCCTTTCTCTTACCACTGGTCCTCTCGCCCTCCCTCAGGCATCCTGCTCCTCTGCATTTGCCGGGTGGACGGTGGGGTGATCCCCATTCAAAGACCATCCCTCTCTCCGAATCTCCAAGTCGTGGGAAAGGCTATGAACCGGACTTGTTCAGTCTCCAGCCATTCTCATATGATTGGGGGTCAGTGATGGGGTTAGACCATTCAGTATAATCTATGTCTATGGGGAGGAGGGCAGAGAACATATGGTGATTGCAGAACGGCCTTTGGTGAATTAAACCGCGATGTGAGCTCAGAGATGTAAAGTGATTTTCCTGGCAACACCCAGAAGTGGCACTTTATCCCCCTAGTCCAATATTTTGCTCTTTTCAACTCTCTTCTTCGAACCCTCTCATTCACACGGTTCAAAGTGGCTCTCCAACTGTAGCTCTTTAACCCTGGCGATCACGGCGTGAGGCCACGGAGGATGACAGTGATTAGCCTGGGAGCCGGAGGAGCCAAGCCCCAGCAGAACACAGGGATTTTGCCTGGGACACATCACGTTGGCCTGAGCCTCCCTGCAGGTGCTCCTGGGAGGCCAGGCTGGAGCAGGGCTTCCAGGACAGGTGGAGAAATCGGAACTGGGTCAGTGGGCCAACCAGGGGTTGGAGTCTCTCCAGCCAGGTGCAGCGATGGCCACGGGCCTAGGTCAAGACTGAAGAGTGGATGCTCTTCCTCTTGAACTCTGCTCCACCTCCTGGCCCAGCCGCTGGCTCTGCCCCCTCCCCTCCCACCCTGTCCCCGACCCTCACCCTGCTCTCAAACTGTCTGGGCCACCCAGCGGGAGGGAACTGAGGCCCGGGTTCAAGTCCCAGCCTGACCACCTGCCAAATGGGCTTCCTCTGATGTCTCTGGGAAGTCAGGGTATCTGATCTTGTGAGGTGGTCCATCTTTAACCTGGACAAGCTTGTCCCTCTCTTACCCTTAAACAAGTTTGTGTTTCTTTTCCCTGGAGTCCCTCTGATCTCGGCCTACAAATTCATGCTGAGGTTTAGGTAGACAAACAGTGACTGCACTAGCCTTTCCAGGGAAAATATTTTCTTTTAATTCAGACCTTGTGACAGCATGTAGAGGACTAAGGGAATGACAGCTGGCATTTAGGATGGGGCTGATGAGATGTGTCAGGACAGCCTACCTCCCCGCCCCATCCTAACAACAGCGACCAGGACCACGAAAGCAATTACCACTCACTGCCGGGCGCCAGGCTGATCTCGACCCAGACCACTTACAAGATGCCGGTGTTCTCCCCTCTTATAAATTAAGACTCTGAGGCCTGAGATATTGAGGTGAACTTGCCCAAGCCCTGTTGCTGCTAAGTCGCCCAGCAGCATTTGCAACCTGAATCCCCCAAATCTGCCCTAACCCTCCATCCCGAGTCCAAGGCCCTTCAGAGAGTCCCCACAAAATAGTCCAAGGGCAGGGTTTCACCCATCAATTAAAAGATGTGTATGTACATAAGCCAACGTGGGCCACGACCTGTCCTGGGACTTGTGGAAAAGGAGGGTGTCTGATGGACCACGCTCTCGGGGACTTTGCTGTTGAGTCAGTCTACAACACTGTCAATCTGAGTTTGCAGTGTGGTTTGTGGTAAAAGGCACACAGTGAAGAGGGAAGGATCTGGCCGGGGAGGGGCCACTTTGGATCAGGTGGTCCGGGAAGACTCCTCTGATGGTGACCTTTGGGCTGAGATCTGAAGGGCCGAAGGAGCTGGGAGGAGCGGAATCTGGATGCAGGGGACTGCAAAGGCCGAGACCTGGAGGCTGGACCCAGGCTGGTGAGCCAGAGGACCCGAAGGTGGCCTGTTGTGGCCAGAGAGACGTGAACGCAGAACAGAGAGGTCGCATCAAGGGAGAGCAGGTTGTGGAAAGATGTGGGAGTGTATTTTATTGGAGGGACTCCAGCGGGGGGCAAGGTTAGGATGTTCCGATTCGTGCTCTGAATAGATGGCTCTGGCTGCTTTTGAGGGATGGGCCCCGGGGGTTGAGTGGAAGCTGGGAGACCCGTCAGGAGCATCAGTGAGGAGGCTAGTGCATCTTATATCTTACATCTTACCTTGGGGGCAAGAGTCCGGAGCCACAGACTTACGGAAAAACACACAGTGAAACCCCAGCACGGGTACTGATGCTGAGGACGGACGGATGGAAGGTGTGAGGCCCACTGGGGTGGGGCTCATCCTCGGTGGTGGCTGTCACTCGAACATAACGCCCATTACAGTCACGTCCAAAGGGGTCAACACAGATCTGGTGCCCAGCCCTGAGTCACCTCCAAAAGCACCCTTTCCATGGGTCCCAAGGCCCTGTAGACAGACAAATCCCCAAAGGTACCTCTTCCTGCAGCAGCTGCAGAGGGAAATGTCCCGTTTCAGCACCAACATGGGCCCCTGGGCTAGAGGCTTCTGTGAGTTTCTGCCCCGAACCACACGGTGGGCCAGTTCGGAAGATGATTAAACCCCTCACACAGTCATCACGGGTACCGCCCAAGGGGCAGGATGACGATGGCTAAGAGTCGTCCGAACCAGGCACTATTCTAAGGCCTCACACGTATTAGCCCTCCCCTCGCCCCCCGAGCCCTGGGAGGTGGACGCTGTTGTGACTCCTATTTTACACTGAGGAAACAGGAAACCTGGGCACAAAGTCCAAAACCGACTGTCCAGCTTCGGAGTTCTTGCTATTAAGGCCGACCCTTTCCTGCCTCTCAGGAAGCTCCCCGAGGTGCTCAGAGCTCACAGACTCTCCGAGGCCTAAGCTCTCAACAGCAGTGGAAGGGGCCCAGGCCTTCTCTTCCAGGAGACCACAGGGCAATTCATCCTCAAAAATTAAGTCCACCAGAAAATGAAGATGCTCACAAGAGAGAAGACAAGACTGAAAACTCTGAGACCCCGAAACGGGCCAGGTGGCGAAACACATAGAGGCCAGAGATGGTCCGAGGAGAGATGCTCCTGCTGTGGCTGAGGCCCCGGCCTGGCTTCCGTGGGAAGGACGGAGGCTGAGCTCCGGCCGGTCCAGGGAACCCCCGGTACTTAGTGGCTGACACTAAGAAAGCCAAGCCCTTCTGTGGGAAAATCAAGGATGACAGGGACTCTTCCCCCTGCCACAACAAACCTATACTTAAACACGATTAAAATGCGCCGTCTGTAAAGGAAATAGCCCACAGTTTAGCCAAACATGGGAGCATCCTCTCTCTCCCACCCGGCGCTGTTATGGTGGTTTGTGCGGTGTACTCTGTTCTGAACCAGGACCAAGTCTATCAGGCCGAGTTCCAAACTGGCTCTTTTCCTAGCAGCCCGGGCCTCACTTACGCCAAGACGAAGGCGGGATGTGGAGGCTCCAGCCCTGAGCCTTGCTCACTGCTGGGGCCGAGGATGGGCAGACACCAGGCACGCCTAGTGGCTTCCTTCCTGCGCCTCTGAGCTCCGGACGTGCTGGCCTCCCCGCTAGCCTTTCTGCGCCGCACAAGCATTCAACTTCCCTTCTCCAGGGAGAAGCTTTGGGAAGAACAGAATCTCCCTAGGTGAGGGGGGAAAAGGGAATATATGTTTATCCCTTACTCATGTCAGGCAATTAAAGGAATTCGTGGGTGACTTCTTGGTAAAGCCACTCCCCTGGCCCCCTCCCTGCACCCCCAGTACAACTCAGAAATAGAGAGAATGGTTTCCAAAGTGAGCACCTTCCCTCCCCGGTGCTTTCGGAGGCCAGGCACTTCATTCTCTTAATTATATGGACACGCACTCACAGACATAAATACGGGATGATATGCTTGTGTGTGTTTGTGTGTGTGTGTTTGCACCCCCGCATACATCTGCTTCCAGAATCCTGTAATTAGCACCCCGTAAAGGACAATTCTACACATTGGAAACCACCAGCCTAGATCCTGGGTGACTGACAAGCCAGAAAACTTAATTTCCCTCTTTGTAGGAGAGATCTTTTAAGCTACTGTTTGATCGCCGCAGCAGATTAGGTGAGCTCTGAACTGCTTTGGAGAAATTTGTTCCTTTTGCCCGATGCCCTCCCCTCCCCTCGCTGCCTCCCACCCCTTCGGTGATAAGGCATCTGTAAACACTCTGAAGCTCTTTCGCCCGCCTTCTTGGGTCCGCCGCTTTGAAGCAGAACTGCAGGAAGACCTCCGTATGAGATGAAAATGTTTTGCGGGCTGATAGAGGAGCTGGGATCCAGCTGAAATCCACTCGGTGACAGAGATTAGAGGACCTGCGATGTGGCGTTCGGAGGGAAGGCTGAGTCGAAAAATGTGAGGTTTATATTCAATCAAAATGAACCCAAACCCCAGTCGCCCCGCCCCCACCCCCATCCCACCGCTGAGGGGAGGTGGGGAGACGCCCAGCCAGACACCCGGAGGGCAGCCACCTTCAAAGTCAAAAAGTCCTTCAGTCTCGCGGGGCTTTTCCCTCTGCATGGTGGTTCTTAAACTTCACCAGGCGTGCAAATCGCCAAGCTTGGTCAAGGCAGATTCTGAGATGACAGTGAAGCAGAGGTTTATTTGCAAAGTCTAAGGTGGGACTCAGTGACCCCAAGTTTTAGTAAGACCCCAGGGGCTTCTAAAGCAGGTGCTGACCAGACTCTTGAAACCACTGACAACGGTGAAAGCCACGTATGCGGGGCTGTGGTCTGCACTAGAGCTGGTGGTGAAAATATTGAGCTCGTGGGGTGAGGGGCTGACAAACAGCCACAGCCTCTGGTCCTTGGAGTGCCACCTGCTGCCCCGTCGCCCTACGCTCCCCCAGAACTTCCCGGACTGCCCCACATCGCAGGCACCTGAAGCTGCTACAAGGCCTGGTCTGCACTGACTGGCCAGAGTCTTGTCAGTTGCTGTGCATCTTTACTGTCCTCATCTGCAGGGGAACTGTCTGGCGGGATCCTACCCAGCCTGCGGTGCAAGGTGCCCGTTTCTCTTGGCGAACCGCATTGGGGGCACCATTAACCACTCTCTCCTGCTTGCAGTATCTTCTTCTGCCCCTTTCTTAACTTTCCTCTTGTTTACTCCTTGCCTTTGTGGCGCCCTTCCTTCGTTCGGCCTCTCCATGATGGTTCCCTACTCCCGTCCAGCCCTAAGTGATGACTTAAGTACCATCTATACGTCAATGGTTGCGACCATATTGACCTCCCTTCTCTCACTCTTGCCCCTTGCAATCCATTCTCTACCTGTTGACCAGGTGGTCTCACTGAGAGATAATCAGATCATGTCACTATCTGGCTTAAAGTTCTCCGGTGGCTTCCTCTTGTAAGAACAAGACCCAAACTGCTTCCCGTGGTGTACAAAGCACCTGCAGCGCTAATATTCCGACATCACTTCGCACTACTCTCCCTCTGGGCCACCGCTGCCCAGCCTCTCCGGCCTTCTTTCCCATCCTCAAAACATCCTCAAGCTCATTCCAGCCTCAGGGCCTTTGCACTAGCTGGGCTGTGGGCCTGGAACGCTACTACCCTGTGGCTGGTTTCTTCTTGTCAGATCTCAGTTCAAACAGACCTTTTCTGACTTTGCAAACCAACGTAGCTACCCAGCCACTTTCTATCGCCCTGTTTTAATTCTCTGCACAGTGTTTACCACTAGCGGACATTTTAATTGTTCACTTGTTCACTCAGTTCTTTACTGCCTGTCTGCACAACTCCCTGTAATGAAGAAGTTAGCCCCAGAGTGCTGTGCTTTGGGAATTTATATCTGCTTTTTTTTTCTTTTAAGTAGATTGACTCTTCTGTTTTTATTGAACACTGTCACTTTTTGCTGTCCTCAGGACTCCCATCTCTGCCAGCCACCCCGCTGTGAGTATATCCTGAACCAGGAAGGCAGTAGGCACACTCATTAGAATTGGGAACAAAGTGTAAGTTATAATTCTGAGCAAGACTGAGACCCTCTTATCCTGAAAAGATGTCTTTGGTTTAGCACGACGGTTCCTAGCTGCTGCTGTGGACTAATTGCATCAGAATTACCTGGGGAACATCCGAATGATACGGACACTGCAACTGCCTCCCTGGAGGACCTGTTTCGGTAGGTGTGGAGTTGGGGGTGGGGTTTCTGAGAATCTCTATTTGTCAAAAAGGACCCCAGCTGTCCTCACCCTGTGCAAGCTTGGGAGCCACTCGCTTAGTGCATTGGCATGGAGACACCCAGTACAGACCTGCAGGGAGTGACCATCACTGCCTGCTTCTGGGACAGGGCTTCTCAGCCTCATCACTGTTGGTGTTTGGGATGGCTGCTCTCTGCCGTGAGAGGCTGGCCCGTGCATCCTAAGAGATTTAGCAGTATCCCTGTTCTACACCCTCTGGACGCCGTAGCTCGTCTCTTCCAGCTGTGACAGCCAAAAGTGCCTCCAGACACTGCTTAATCTTCCCTGGAGGGCAAAGTCGCCCCTGGTTCAGACCCACCGCCCCAGGGTTTCAGCTGTGTTCCAGAAAGCCGAAAAGAGACCTCTACAGTCAAAGGTCTAGACAATTCCGTTACCCAAAAGATACAACAACCTATGTGACTGCTCAGAAAGCCAACTTTTGTTATGCTAAACAATTGCCTAAACCTTTAAATGCATATGTGCTCGAGCTACTTGTGTACGTGGAAATCAAGAACAGCTTTTAGCTAATCAAAAAGAGATATTCTGGTCCAAGCGTGTTTGAAGACTGCCATGTTTTAAAACTCGACATGACTTAAAACAGAATCCTATAAGTTTCCTTTGCTAAAATACTTTCAGGATATATTAGGTATAACAATAGTTTGCTACATGAAAATGGCTTTGAAAATCTTAAAAGTGTTTTAAAAGAAAAAAGACTTTTTTTTTTTGCAAAGCATTAAATTGGATGTGAATATGACAGATTTCAAAGACCGTCAAAATAACAAATTTACATCATAAATGCATCGGCTTTCTCTTTAAAGGCTTTTCCACCACTCAGGACGGCATTTAATGGTGAGCAGGTTCAAAATGTCGCCAACTCCCACTGGTACAAAAGGGAGGCGATCCCTGCTAGAGTCTCTGGGCTTCAGATAATGTCCCGGCCTCTTTTCAAGTCAGTAAACTGCATTCCTGTCAAATTGCAGATAAATGAAAGCGACGGCACCATTGTTTCCCCCCACATCTTGCTAAGAAAGATATCTCCCAATATTTCGGGAGGACCAGTACGCCAAAAAAATAAACTTGAAATAAATCCACCCTGCCGTGACTTTACCGGATCAAAGACAACGGAGTTTCCACAGAAGCACTTTTCTGAAGTTTGCAGCTCTTTAGTTCCGATAGCGGCTCATTAAGAGGTTTCTAATGCATTTGATTGTTTCAAAGTTAGCCATCTAAATTTTTAATCATGTGTGGGTGCAAGATAGTCCTAGGGTGGTACCCAAACACAGCAAAGCCTTTCTGTTCTAAAGAGTCATGTCAATATAATATTTTCCTGAATAATCAGCAGGTAGGCTTGGGGAGGGGGTGGCTTCAAACAGCGCCGTTCTTTGATGGAGGGGTGGACAGGTTTCTGAAGTTGCCTTTTGAAAGAGAAATAAGTCTGAGTGTTTTGAAATCTGGGTTCCTTTCTTTTTTGAGGGAGTGAGGCTGCCCCTCTCTCTTTTCTCCTCTTTCTTCTTTTCTTTTCGTGGAGGCGGAACTGCTATTCATCATAAAGAGGAAAATAGGGCTTAGCCGGGAGCCCAGCCTCTCCAACTGGAGTCTCTTGGACCAGAAGCGCACTCCCTTGCTCAGCACGCTTGGCTTTACTTTCTTCCAATACTAACCACGGGTCAGTTTTTGTTGTTCCTTCCTGCCTCTTTGGGCATAAGTTTTGTTTTTTTTTTCCTCAAGAGCCTGTTGTTTGATGGAGAACACGGAAGGGCACGGAGGTGGCTACACATAGCTCTGTAGGACTCGCGGGGTGTCAGGGGGTCAGCGCCTTCGTGATGATGGAAGTGAGAGCTGCACTCACTACGGGCGAAGGTGAAGGAGAGGAGGGGGTTGGGAGAGACCTTGCTGCTGCCATTCTGTAGATGATAAGGCACAGCTCACCTGGGTCGGAAAGATCTCGGGGAGCCTCGAGATAGCTCTTAATCTGCTCCTTATTTAGTGAGCATTTACTCTGTGCCCGCCTCTGCTCTCAGCTTTATTTGGACTATCACATTTCATCGTCACAACAACTCCCCGGTGGCGAGTTTTTCAATCATCCTGTTTTACAGGCGAAGAAGCTGAGACACAGAGCCAGAATGTGAACCTTGGCTGTCAGGCTCCAGCACCCACGCCAGATGCGGGTTCCTGACAGTGCTATCTACAAGAGCAAAAACTTGGAAACAACCCAGATAGCCCCCAAATGGGATATTGCTTAAATCATTTGTAGCAGATCCATACCAGTGAATGCTCCGTCATGAATATGTCACAACCATTAGAGGTGACACGTGAAATGGTAGAACAGAATTTAAGACAAGAAGGCAACTTAGAAATATATGTATATGTAAATGTGTATATATATATATATATATATATATATATATATATATATAAAAGATTTCATATGCTAGTAAATAAAAATCACCATTCAGAGAGAGAGAAGGGTATTGAGGCTGCATTTGTAGACTCAGGACACCATGGCAAAGTACTGTAAGACTAGGTGGCTGAAACGAGAGAAATTCATTTTCTCACGGTTCTGGGGGCTGGGAAGTCTAAGATCAAGGCACTAGCTGATGACCTTTCTGGTGAGGGCTCTCTTGCTGGCTTGCAGACAGCCTCCTTCTCCTGTGTCCTCACATGGCCTTCCCTCCAGGGTGTTCATGGCGGTGTGGGCACTGGGGTAGGGGTGAGTGTGGGGAGGGCGTCTTTTTCTTCCTATAAGGCTACCAGTTGGATTAGGACCAGCCCTTATGACTTATGACTTCAATTAACCTTAATTGCCTCCTAGGAGCCCCATCTTCAAATAAATCACATTGTGGGTTAGGGCTTCAATATATGAAGTTATTAAATTGGGGTGGGTGCAAAATTCAGTCCACGGTAGAAACCAAAATGTTAAGAGTGATTATATGCAAGTGATGATGATAGAAGTGATTTTTAGTTCTTTTATTTTGAACATTTTTTCAAATAATAAACATAATTTACTTGGTGTAATATTAAAAAGAAAAGTTTATCAATATCAGATTTTTGGTCCAAGGTGATTTTAATCCATTCTGTACAGACGAGTCCCAAAAGCCTCACTTCTAGCAAACCGGTCGGCCCCATCTACCCGTGTCTGGGGTGATTTTATGGTGACAGGCAGCCCATCTCTCTCTGCCCTGGAGCAGACTGAGAAGGATCCAGATCGGAGCATCTTCTGTGGTTGGCTCCCCCAGCAAACTCTGCGTGTGGCTGGCACTGCCGGCCCAGGCAGAACCTGGCAGGAGCTGCAGGTGGCCAGGACCTTGGTAGATGATGTCCTTTCTGCAGCCCTGTTACTTACAAGCATAACCAAATCATATTAGGTAAGTGGTAACTTGAGAAACAAAGGCCAGACCAAATGTTTGGGGCTTTGTTCAGAAGGACGCCAATGAATCCACAGCGTGAATGTCTGGGAGGAGAAATTCACCAGACTGGAACAGCTTGGGTTTGGGGGCCAAACCGCGAGGTGTGATTACCACATGGGAGGTTCCAGATGGGGAGACTCCCCCTTGCCGCTCCGTCTCCACCACTCTTGCGCCGAGCAGTCGAGGGTAGCACTAGCCTGCCAACCTAGCAAAGTATCGGGGACACGATCTAGGTTTCCACGCCTATAAAAGTGTTTCTTCCCCCAAAGTTAAGTTTCTTTCTGATGTCAGTCCTGCAGACTTGAGCTAATTCGCGCACAAATGAGCAGGAAGCATGAACGCTAACTCAGATATGTGCCATTCATTGCTACCACAGGGCATAGGGTGACCTAAGTTGAGAGACTGATACCCCAGCCCTCGTCTGCCAGTGACGGCAGGTGTGACTTCTGGCAGGTTGTTGGACTCAGCTTTTAAGTGGGAATAAAAATATGGTCCCTGCCTACTTGATGGGATGATTTAGAATGCAGTATCTCTTTGCTTACCACGTACTCCCTGCGGCTTGTGTGCTGCCTGGCCACAGGATGAAGTTGGGGGGAAAGAATTCTGCGATCTGGACGTTAAAATCACTTGGGTAGCAGAACAGACACAAACCCTCACAGCCCAGCCAGGAGGTCATTAAGCTGGCTGCACATGGGAGCAGATAAGCACCCACTGATGCTTCTGGGGGGAAGGTAGGGGTTCAGAAGACCTCTTACCTCTTAAATACTTAGCACCCACTGAGCGCTCAACAGATATATTCTGAGTGACTGAATCAAGAAAACTATAAACCATTATCTGTGAGAGTGGTTCTCAAAGTACCAGGAATCTTATGCTTTGTGGCAGAGACTGACTAGCTGCTTACTAACTCTTTTCTCCCTGGGCTTGAAGCTAAACTACATTTCCCAGACCCTTTTGTAGGTGGGGCTGATGCAGAAGCAATGACCATTGAGACAACTGGGAAGCCAGGTGTTGAAGATGGCACAGCTGTAAGATGGAAAGAGACTGGATCTCTGAATCAGAAGGAAGCCTGTCCCCAACTAGGGGGCCATCTGGGGGCTTATTTAGCATCTTGTACATCTTGGGGCTTATTCAGCATCTGGTACTATCTGAACTAGTATGCAGTCTCCAGTATAATTCCTATCACCCATCTGAGAGGCTCCTAAAGGCTGAATGATGCTGGGGAGAGAGTCCAAGTGCCCAGTTCCGGAGTCTTGAACACGATTCCACAGCAATGGCCTTGACAGAAAGAAGCTTCCAGAGAGTTGGAAGCTGGTAAAGATGCAGTCTGACTACGCAATCTCAAAGGGTCCTGATGAGGAAGCAAAGAGTGGGGGGAGTCAGAAGAGACTAGCTACACAGGGGGTGTCAGGAGAGCTGAAGTTCTAAAAGGACATATACAAAAGATGGAAAGACATTTACAAGGACAAAGACCCAAGTGGTCCAGAGTCATAAAAGAAGGTCTCCCAGCTGAGACTTAGGAAAAATACTTATGGTGACTGTATGAGTTAAGGTGAACTTTGAAACCAACAAAGCACAACATCTCAGTGGCGGGACATCATTCAGGCTAGTTTCTCATTCACGTGAAAAGCTTAACGAGGGAGTCTGGATAGGCAGGTGATTTTTCACACGGTGATGCAGGGATCTGTGCCCCTTCACCCTGCGTCTGCACCCCCTGCCAGGGTCCCAGAGCCCTGAGCTATGAGCCGTGAGCCAGTGGAGGTGGGAAAAGTAGGGGTGAAGAAGATCACTCCTATCCTAAGCTCTTTAGGCCAGAAGTGACATTCACCACTTCTTCCACATTCCATTGGAAAGAATTAGTCACATAGCATCACCTAGATACAAAGGGAGATGAAAGTACAGTGTTGATGGGCGACTCACTGTCTCTACAACAATATAAAAGGGTTTTCTTTTTTTGAGTGACATAACAAGAAGATGATCAAAGAAGGAGTAGACCCGTTACTCAATCTTATGGTACCATGCTTACAACATGAAGGGAAATGAATTTCCTCACCTCTTGTTTCTCTGTCTGGATTTCTCTGTCTGGGAAGAGAATAATCAGACTGAATAGAGTAAAATGGACATTGGTGAAAGAAAGGAAAGAATTGAAGCCCCCAAAATAGTTACTGACTCCACGTGGCCTGGATGGTTCTCCTCTAGAGATCACAAGAGGATTCGTGAAAATGGTGACAAATTAGGCACCACGGAGAACCATAAAAGTACCTGAAAACTAAATGTGGGCAAAATGTACTCCTGGTTGTCATGAAGGAGAGACTGTCTTGGTGCAGGCTTGCTTTGTGGCTGGATTACCAATTCCAGGTTAAGTTCTAAAGAGTACTAAAAACAATGTTTTAAAAGACAGTTTACATGCACTTAGGAAGGAAAATAGTAACAGTTAAAAGTTAGAAGTCTCCCAAGACCAAGGAGGGCCAAGCTAACCTCAACTACATCTCCCACGGTCTTAATCTGGTAAATTAAGGAGGTTCAGGAAACTTGAAAACTGAGTTTTATAAAGCATTTGGCACGATCTCTCATAAAATCCGAAGGAAACTCTGTGGCCTGGGAGATGATCCAGTTAGATGGATTTATAACCTAGTTGACAGATCACACTGAAAGGGTGATGATGATTGGGGAGTCGGGGCTGCCAGCTCACTGCCTTTGGGAGTGAGAGAGGTGTCATTAAAGAGTAGGACCGGGCAGGATGCTTGATAGTAGAAAGTGATGGGGACAGAGACAAATGGAAGCCCTGTCTTGCCTTATGGCTGAAGTGATCACTATACACATCCAGGTGGGACATGCAGTCTATGAGCCACACAACCACACACGGCTGCTTTGGGCCGTACCAGCTGGTTGTTGTCATGTTGGACTGTGGACCTAGTGTTGAGATATAGTCACTCTTTCAGGAGAAGCTGGAATCCAGATGTTGGCCATTGAGTCAAAATTAAAAAAAGAAAAGAAAAGAAAAATGCCACGCAGGCCAAAGAAAACACACCTGGACCATCACTGTGTGAACCTAACCCTAAGAAAAATTTCTAGTAGCACAGGGTTTATGTCACTGGTCCGGTTCTATACAACATTTTTATCAATGACTTGGACTAAGCTCTAGTAAGCACGTGGACCAAATGGGCTGTTGATCCAAAGCCAGAGGGACAGTTGGGTGACCGACTTGGGGTTCCGAATAACCTCAACAGACAAGCACAGAGCCTGAACAGCACAAGAAGGAACTCTTGGGTAGACAAATACAAGGTCATACACTTCGGTCCAAAAATATCAGCCAGACAAGTACAGAATGGCTTAACAAGAGCACATGTTACTGAAAAAAAAAATGCTGCAGAGTTTCAGTTGCTTGCAAATCAATGTGAGGCAACTGTGTGATGTGGTTGCCAAAAAGCAAAGGCAATCTTAGCCGGCATCAAAGGCGGCAAATCCTGCTGCGCTCAGGCCAACCACATCTGGAGCCCCACCTTCGGTTCCGGGAAACACTTGAGGAAGAACCTGGAGAAACTGGAGCACGTTTGGAGGGCGTCATCCCAGAGGGTGAAAGGATTAGGAACTATTCAGATGAAGACCAGCTAGAGGTGTCAGGGCTCCCTCACTTAGGGAAGGGAAGCCTCAAAGATACAGGAATGCTGGGTTCTGACATTTTGGGGGTGAGTCATATGGCCGGGGAATTAAACTTGCTCCTTTTGTGTAGACGAATGCCAAGGGGGAAAGGGGACGGAGAACAAGAGCTCAATTCAATATTCAAACACCTTTCAAACCCATCTCTGGTGAGGGAAAGGACTGTCCAGAAGGAAATTAGCCACCCCCTCCATCCCTAAAGATGGAACTGTGAAAGGCAAGGACAGCAGGGGTTTAGGAGAAATCTGAGTGTCAGGGTCATTACCAGCCATTGTCTCAGAAGGA